TCAATTCAACTCTCAACATGTTTATTAATGAAGAGGTACATGGGTATTTATAGATGTCAATTACCTCTAGTGCTAATCTTACTAGGAAACTATTAAAACAATAAAATACTAAATCCTAAGGTAAGTAAATATCCTACTACCAAAAATATCCTAAATCTACTAGATTTCCTAATTACTTGTCTTGCACTCCAAACAATTCTAGAATGCTCCAAGTCTTTCCAAAACCCTTCGCCGCCTCAGCACTCCACGGCCGCCTTTGCGCGCGCGCCCTTCGGTCTACTAATCCTTGGCACGCGAGGCATCGCGCGCCTCGTCTGTGTTGCAAGTTCGCGCCTTGTCCGTGCTGCCTGCCCCCTGCGCGTGCGTCTCCTCGCGTGCGTCGCCTAATCCTGCCCCGCCTAGGATGCCCGCGCCTGCGCTGCACTCGCGCGCTATCGTGCGCTCCCCGTCGCTGCTGCCATTCTCCCGCGCGTATGAGCCGTCGCCCGGTACTCCCTCGCCTACGCTGTCGCGGTCTGCTCCTGCCAGCGCATCGCCCGTCTCGCCTAAGCCTACACGGCTTAGGCCTTCACCCTCGTTCGTCCACTCGCTGCTGCCCTGCGAGCCCCGCGCCATTGTCGGCTTTCCCGCACGTGTGCACTGCTGCCTTTCCTAGGCCCCCTAGGCCTAGGCCTTCATCCACGTGTGCTCCCTTCACGCACTCCGCGTTCCCCGTCACTTTGCCGCCAAACGCCAACGTGTCCCAGTCAACCTCCGCAGCCTGTTCGCCCATCGTATGCTCTTGTGCACCCAACGCCGCGTGCACCACCTCATCGCGCACATCATGGCCCGATGCACGCCATATGCCCGATAGCCGATCTTCCTCGACCCCTTTGTCGCTCAACTCCGTTGGCTCGCCCGATGGCCATGGGTCCCAACCATCCAACCTAATACAATCTCCAATTGCCATATCAGTCCATCTTCCATTCCCTGCCTACCACGCCTTCGAGCTTTCATTCTCCAAACTCGCCTTTTCCTTGCACACGGCTTGCACCAACACTTCCCTTCCTTAGCCTTTGCCTTGTGTTTTCTTCGCACTTGCTTGGCCTTGCGTTTCCGAGCCTTCCCCTTTAACTTCGGACCACATCCTTTTGGCCAATCTCGTACACATGATGACCGGTAAATCGGACTTGTAGGCTCTTCTAGCATGTTCTCCAACCATATGTTGAGATCATCACCACCTTCATCCTCCGACTCGCCTGGGTTGATGACCACTTCCGTATCATTCCCCTCCTCTTCAAGATTTTCCTTGTCCTCAAGGATTAGAAAATTTAGCGCACCTTCATCGCCATTGTCTTGAGCATCGATCACCATTGCTTCTCGGGCTTCTACGAGTTGTCGCTTGTACTGTTCTATATTCCTTCGCTCATGAAGCTCATCTAGATATGTTTTCTCCCATGGTGTGAGCTCTCTTTCCAAACCTTCCAACATCTCATGATCTTCCCAATTTAACTCATCCATTGGTGGGTAAGACATATTCTTCTTTTTTTTTTTTGACTCTAGAAAAATAACAAAAGACTAACAAGATGACACTTTTTTTTTTAGACTCACCAAAAAATATGACAAATTTGAACAAAATTCGAAAATTTCGAACCAAAAAAGAACAAAAATTCGGCCCCCTCAGCAAAAGGCAAAACCAAAAGAAGAAAAAAGATAGATAGATAAAAATTCGATTAGCACCTCTCAATGAAAGCACCAAGATGACGGATTGAATTTTTTTCTATTTTGAGTTGTGAATAATCGTGCACTCAGGGCCTTCGATTACTCACGATATGTGTATCTAACAGACACACTATCGGCCTTCTCCTAGACACTGTGACATTAAGACTCTCTAATGGTCTTCTCTCCGACACTGTATGTAAACACGCACTAATAGCCTTGTTTAAACACCCGTTAGAACATAAAGTTCCCCTCACAATTGTCTCACCAATTCAATACTCAATTCAACTCTCAACATGTTTATTAATGAAGAGGTACATGAATATTTATAGATGCCAATTACCTCTAGTGCTAATCTTACTAGGAAACTATTAAAACAATAAAATACTAAATCCTAAGGTAAGTAAATATCCTACTACCAAAAAATCCTAAATCTACTAGATTTCCTAATTACTTGTCTTGCACTCCAAACAATTCTAGAATGCTCCAAGTCTTTCCCAAACCCTTCGCCGCCTCAGCACTCCACGGCCGCCTTTCCGCGCGCGCCCTTCGGTCTACTAATCCTTGGCACGCGAGGCATCGCGTGCCTCGTCCGTGTTGCACGTGCGCGCCTTGTCCGTGCTGCCTGCCCCCTGCGCGTGCGTCTCCTCGCGTGCGTCGCCTAATCCTGCCCCGCCTAGGATGCCCGCGCCTGCGCTGCACTCGC